CGGCACAACTTCAGATTTGCTTTTCTCTTGTGTTAAACAAAATGAAGTATAGAGACCAGTTGGGATATTTTTATTTAGTTCATTTATGTCCCCCTTTCTCCCCAATGTGGATCCAAAGAGGCTTACATTATTCTCCTCCGTTTTATCCTCACAACAACCCTGTGAGGTAGGTTAGGCTGAAAGTGTGACTCCCAGCAGCCAAGCAGTCCGTTTCTTCAAAGTAACTCTCTCTCTCCCCCCCCCCCATTTTTGTTGATTGAAATAGTTCTGAAAGACTTCTGAAGTCGGTGGTGGTGGTGGTGGCGGAAAGTGCCATAAAGTTGCAGCCAACTTATGACAACCCTATAGGGTTTTCAAGGCAAGAGACATTCTGAGGTGGTTTGCTACTGCCTGCCTCTGCATTGTGACCCTGGACTTCCAGGGCTGACCCGGCATCGCTTCTGAGGTCTTATGGGACTGGGCTAGCCTGGGCCATCCAGGTCAGGATTTTAATTGTTAGATTTAATTAGGATTTAAATTGTTAGAAGTGAAATATTCATGTACCTTTATTTAGCCAGTTCGAATACACACTGTGTGAAAAAGACTGTGTGATGTTAGCCTTTTCTCAGCAGTGCTTTTGGCTGCCACTCTATAAAGAGCTGCACATTGGAAACAATCTTAAGGGAACGGTCCCCTTTTCTGGGCCTCTCTCTCTCCTTTCCTCTTTCCCCCCTTTTCCTTAAACAGTTGGCGGAGTTTTCCTGTTTCTCTAAGATGGGTGTGAATTACCCATTGCTCTGTTCCAGTAAACACAACAGCAGCATTAACAGTTCTACAACACAAGAACCATTTAAGGACAATGTGTCGTAACCATCACTTGAACCTTTTCGTGTGCATTCTCAGGACTTTGCTTTCAATTAACACAGATGAAAATCTGCCGCAGTTTGGTTCTAACAGTCAGGATGTGTGTGGTTTTCGTATGTCATCCATCTAAGCACGTGATGCCTGGGTAAGCAGTAGAGCCTAGTTATGATTCACTGGGGAGAATCATGGAAAACAATGTCTGTTTTAAGCACAGTTGAAAATAAACGGTTTGAACAATACGCGAGTGTGTAAGAGGTTCAGCTGTTTCCTACGTAATGGTTTGTATGGGAACCTAGCATTTCTTTTCCATTTATCAAACAGGAAGCTTATGCTTCTAGCTGTGATTGCTTTAGAATTGCCAAATTTAGGTAGTAAGTTGGTCATTTATAAGATGATCAGAGAGTCAAATGTGGAACCTTTTCTCGGAGGCAAGTTGGAATCATAAAACCAAGTACTGGAAGGCAACAAAAGATATTTCTGTAAAAGCAAGTTTATTAGGACCTACCAATGTGTGAACTTTTAAGTTACTCAGAACTTTTCCTTGGAAACATTAAAATAACAATACAAAGCAGAGGATGTTTGGTTGAAAAGCATCATTTTCAGCCGCCTACACTTTATTTCAGTCTTATGATGGTAATAGAAGAAGCTTTTGTATACTTAATTAGATGGGTTGCCAGGTGAGACGTGCCCGGCGTGAATACGTCACCCAGAGGTGATGTCATTGCGTCGGACACGTTGCAGGGGGACGTTCTATCATTTGAGGGAAAACTCTATGGTTTTCCCTCGAATGATTGTGGCCCCACCCCTAACGTGCCTGACGCGATGACATCACTTCCTGGTGATGTGATCGCGGCGCGTGCATGAGAAGACTCCCGGGGAGGTGCAGGACTCCCCCCGCTAAAAGGTAAATATGACTTGGCAACCCTATTAATTAGGATAGAACCATGTTTTATATTAAGTTTTCAGGTTACAATGGTTACAGATACAAAGAAACAATGGCTGAGGTTTCCTTTGGAAGTATCAAAGTAGTCATTAGTCATGTCTGTCTTAGCACTGATTCAAACTCACAAGTCCCTTGTAAGTTGAGAACAGATACATAAAATCTTTACCTATCGTTGGCTAAAGCTATCTCTAAGGAGTTTCTTGTTAAATTTTGTTAAATTTTGATTGTAACCACTGAGCACTTTAATTTTGATTGTTTTATCTTGTTTTTATGTTGTTTTATGCTTTGGCACATGGTGCCCTATTGTAAGCCGCCCTGGGCCCACTTGCGGGGAGGGCGGGGTAGAATGTAATAATAAATAAATAAATAAGAATGATGATAGTGCCAACTGGCAGCACTTGGTAGCAGGCTGTTTCTTCATTGGCAAAACCACAGAACTCTTGTATGTAGTGCTGAGCTGACAGGTCAAAGCCAAATCTTTCTGGCTTCAAAATAGGGCCTTTTGGAGTCTGTGTTTGTGTGTGTGTATGAAAGGCCTAAGTACTATGTCTTTCATCCATTTTACTAGTTGCAGTGGCAATCTTTGCTATCACTGAATAAAATCTAAAAATATTTTAGGGTGCCATCTCTTCCAGACCCACTTTATAGGTAGACAGCAGTTGAAATGTTACTCCAGTGGGTTCCTACTATAGTTATTTAACTATTTCTTTTGTATTGCGCATTCTTGGAGTGGTATCTATGTATTGTATTGCAATCGCTGACTGTATTACAGCTGTATTTCAGTTTCTTTGCATATTTCTTGAAGGAGTCAGAACCTGATTTCATGATATTGAGAAATGTGTGTAAGTTTTGTTTTTAAGGTATACTATTCCTTGGATGTAAAGTTCTGACAGTTATTGTCAGCAAACTGCAAGTGTTTATGCTTATTTGAAGATAGAGCTTATTTGAAGAAGATGTCTATTTACGAGTCCCAAATGTGCTGCTAATTTACCGACAGCTTTTTAATTCAAGTGCAATTACAACATGTAATTAGTATTTCAGTTAAAACTATGTTTTTATGAAGGTTAGGTTGAGCTGCTGAAATATAACTCCCAAATGACTATAATACTGGAGAAATATGTCTAACATGTCCTATGGTAATAATGGAATCCTTTGCTCACTATTGTACTGGCATATACTGGCTGTCTGAGAACCTCTTTATTTGATTAAAGCAATTACGCGAAATACGAAAAATAATCCCGAAAGACAAAGAAAACAATGTGAAGAATGCCAACGCACAAAGAAAATGAATATAGACCTTAAATGCAACTACTGGAGTTCAACCATGCATACATTATGCTAATAAATATTGACCCAATGTAGGGAACCAGTGTGGTAAAATCCTTTCTGCTAATACTGTTTTCCCTGATAGATTTGCCCCTTCATGCTGCTGTCTGTGCAACGGTGAGGAAAATGCAAGCATATGATACAAAGGGTTGTGTCCACTTCTCCTGTTGGAGGGCTGTTTTAGATCTAGTTAGTGACAGGGTGGTTGAATGCACTTCCACTCCCTCACTAGTTCTCCAGTAAAACTAGCAGCTTCCATCCTGTTTGCATTTGTGTGTGTGTGTATATATCTATGTAATCTGTTATGGATCTTTATCATATAGTCTGGCAAACGTGGCAAATAGGTGATCTAGAAATATATACATCATCGAGGTGTGTTAGTTATTCAGAGAGCTGGGATTGACAGCAGTTCATGGTTGAATGTGCATTCTGTTGCCCAGTGTGTGGATTTACTACCCAGGCCTCCCACTTAGTACAGTGTACCCCCATGTTTCATGATCTGTAAACTGTTAACTCTCACACAGTCCATTAAGTCAGGACCCAACAAATCCCAGGTGCCATGGTGCCTAGACATTCAATTTTGGCATCTAGTATTTTTATCAGTCATTTATTGGAAGAGCCTCTTGGTGATTCTCAGTAGCAATACTGAGCTTATTTAGGTAAGGGATACAGGTTAGCTTTTTGTTGTGATAATAAACATGCTTGCCTTGTATTGATTTGTATATTACAATGCTTTTGTTAATAGCTTTTTAAAAAATGACAAGCAGATTTGAGGTTTAGGATTAGCTTTTTTGGTAGCAATAATTAGAAAGTTTGGTCCTTAAAATATAAAACTATGAAGGTTGAAAAATAAGTCTGGTTTATAAAGTTTGGAGGCAGTTCCTAAATCCAAAGAAAATACATCAAGACCTGCATTAAGGCCAATTTTTGTTTTGACATTGTGTCCATTGCAGGCATAGAGAAACCTAGGAAAGAGTATAGAATCTTTAAGGGCCCCATTATACCTGGTCATTATGTAATCCTTATTTATGCTAATCTAGCAGTTAGTACCTGTGTGTTTTTCTCTTCCATTTCTGTCCCCTTTTGTATCAGGTGTACTACTATATTGTAGGCAATTATATTGAACTGTAATCTGCCTTGAATTTGCAGGGGCAGAAAAGGAGGTATTTAAATGTAGGAAATAAGCCATCCTTTCTCTCGCTCTTTCTGCTGGTTAGATGGCTGTTTACCACAAAGCAGTAGTAGGGAGGTTTATGGCAGACCTCTGGTGTAGCACTTTTTTGCCTTTCCTCCCTTCTAACCCACAATTGCTGTAAACAAGTATTTTGGTCCCCCCTTCTCCTATCAGGTGTACATGCTGGATCAGGCTTCTGGCCTTCTCACACTCAGTAAAAGTGCCACTACTGAATAGGGGATAGAAAGTAGCAGGTTTTCGCTGTTCTCAGAGGGAGACTTTCTGTTCTTAACAGAACATGAATCAAGCATGCATTATGTTTCATGCATTTTGATTGTATCAGTCTAGTAAAATGAGACTGTGGCAGTAGATGGCGCAGGCCTTAGACCATTTCTTCAGAACATTGTAATGGGATGAGGTGTTGGATATGCATGATGTGGACAGTTTATTACTTTTTTTCTTTGTGTATTTCCTGAACAGTTAGTTGAAGCTAACAAATATCTTTATTACTTTTTTTGTGTGTGGTAGGATTGGCCTTTCAGTGCCAGTTCAGCTGGTGATTAGGTGTGTGTATTCAGTTGCTTGATTAATATCAACATATGAACAAAAGGCATGCTGCAATATTTCTTCTAACTCTTCTGGACTAGACTGCCTGGGGGGAGGGGGGGGGGAGATGCATACAGCTAATGCAATGATCTATCTGTTTTCTCTTAGAATGAAGACTGCCAATGGGGATTATCGGAAAGAGCACAGAGAAAGAAGTCGCAGTCCAATCGACCGGGCCGCTGCACCTACAGTGAGCATTCATGCTAATCACATGTATGCCTCAATCCCAAGCTTAACCATGGATCAACCTCTAGCACTGACCAAAAACAGCATGGATGCTACCCGGTCTATCAGTATCACTCCTACAATGACGTCGGTGGAACGGCAACAGGTACTTTGGCATCTTGATTGTTATGATACACATTCTGCTTAGAGTCTGTCGTGCATATATTTAATATGTAGCTTTCTTGCAAGGGACGTGTGTGTAGTTGTGCAGGTAATTTTGTCTTCTGAAATATAATTATATTTCCTAGTTTCTCCCTGTTTGTAACCTTACATGCACATTAATGCAGTTTGCAGTTTTTACAAAGGTTTAAATCAGCTGCAAATTAGATCTCTGAGAAATCTGCTTCAAGCTTTGTAACAAGCGACACAGCCTGGCAACGACTGGGGAAAAGATGCATTTATGTCTTCACACAGGGCATGGGAGTCCTTTTCCTGGTTGCCCAGCCTTGATGGAAGGGGGCACCTCCCTTCCACAGACATTCAGCCTTCCAAGGCAGAAGAGGCCTCCTGTTGCTTCCCCTCTGTTCTGAGAGAGGGGGAAGGAGCAGGAGCTGCCACAGCCCCACACCAGCCCCTCGGCAGTTGTAGCAGCGATCTTGTGAAAGCATCAGTTCCTTGGATGTGAGTGAATTCCCCTGAGCAGGCAAACAAGGAACTGCTGCTGTCAAAAGACTGCCCTGCTTTTACGGAAGGAATAGATAAGGTGGTTCCTGGACTTTTACAACTTCAGTTTGCACATGGGAGAACAGTACGGTTAAAATGTTTTCCCACATTTAACAAATAAAACCCTTTCTATATATGTCAGAGAATGTATTCATACAAAGCAGGAGAGCAGCACGTCTTGGTTATTTTTTCTTCCTCTCAGACAGGCCAGAAGTAGGTCAGTGTCTGGGAACTTTCTTGAGCCAGGATATTGGTACACAGATGACTCCTTCCTTAGAGTTGCAGACATTTGGCTAAGGGATAGTTTGAACTTGCATGGGGTTTTTTTTTGGGGGGGGGTTTAACTCACCATGGACTTTTCTGATGACTATTAGTAAGATTTTTTTTAGAAGACAAATGTTCTGTAGGAAATGTCTAAGGCTTTGGGGAGTCATTTAGAAGTGAGACAGAAACCCATGAGAGGATATGATAAGGGAGAAGTTTGGACTTGTCTTTGGGCCAGTGGCCTGGCATGACCTGCTTGATCTGAAACCTGGGAAGATACAGATCGCTGAAATCCTGTTAACCGCGTGCCACTTGTGCACAGAGCCAGTGACACTGTTTTTACCTACCTTGTGCTGATGTCTGATAAATTATGTTCTAATTCCTATTTGGAGACTTTAAAAAAAAACAAAAACAAAAAAAACACCCTTTTCCTGTGTTAGAGGAGGAAGTCAGCCAGGTTGGTGGTGCGGATCTTTTCCTGCAGGCTTCAATTGATTAGTCAGGCTTGTATTATGGAGAGCTGTTCGTTCTCTCTCCCCCCCCCCCCAATTTTGGGAAATTCCTACAGATGTTTATAAAAGCTGGTTTCCTTGCCCACTACATGTTTCCCCCCCTCCTTTTTAGACTACTGTCAGCCCAGAACTATTACTTCCACTCTGCTCCTCCTCCGCTGTTTACTGCAGATATCAACATGAGTTTGGAAGACAATCCACCACTTAATCACCTAGCATTTGATAGTGTTTTTGGCTCTTGAGGGATATTTCATCCATTCCCTGCACCCCCCTGGTACACATGCTTGAGTCGTCATTATTTTGTGTGACCTTCGTGCACAAACCCACGTGGTGCTGTTCCGCATACACCGTCCCCCTTTTCTGCCTCTCTGTCATCAGCTCAGTGATGACAGATGAGGAAGGGAGAGGCTTCCATTGACGACATTAGGGTTCTTTGATAAAGTCTTGCTATTGTTTCTCAGCTTGGCATCCAGCTCTGGCACTCTTAAGAGCACCTGAGAAGCCGTTTTTCCTGGACTGTACCCGGGTGATTATGGCCAGATTTTTTAATGAGTGTGGGGCATGGCTGGATGCTATCTCAGATAAGATGCTGCACTGAAACATGCTGTTCGTGTTTAAAACTAGACTTCGCCTACAGTTCATGCTTGGTCATTTCAGGGGGGTTTCTGTGAAAGGAGAATGCCCATCTCAGCAAAGGTTTTGATTTGTACGTGATCAGAACATTGTAGGAGGAGCTTGCGCACAGTTTAGTCACATGTCGATTCAGACGCCAGATGAGTCGGGTGCGTCCCACATCGTTCTCTTCTGGGAATGCTGCTGTCTGCATTGGAAATGGCCATGCTATCCTCCCATACCCAGGCCTGTAGCTACTGGTGCTATAGGGCATTAGTACCCCTTCAGAAATATGCCATCCCCACCCCTGAATTCCCAGCTTTTATTTTATTTTTTCAAAAAAAAAAAAGTACATTTGTAGTGCTGTGGAGACTTAGCAGATTTTATCTGGATTGCCTTGGGAGGAATTGGGGGCGGGTGTGTGGGTGAGAAGCTGCAAGGTGGCTGGAGCCGAGTCAGTTAATCAGCTCTGGTAGGGAACTTTTTATTCCTGGGCCTTTTGCTTCTTCTGGTTTGCTTTCTTTTCCTTTCTTTTCTTTTACAATGTCTGCAGTGACAAGTGAAAACGTCAAGCAGAAAATTGGAGTGAGAGTTACATTATTTGGGAGCTGCCGCCTCTGTTTGTAGTGGGGAATTTGACTTGGGAGCAGATGGGGTGGGGGAGGCAGGAGCAGGCAGGGAAAAACAGTGTTCAGCTTCACTCAGCCTGGTACCTGTGTTTAATCATTAATTGTAAACCACCTTGCTGTAACTGGCCTGGGGGAAAGCATGTATGCCTCTGATCATGTGTAGAATGCCTGTTACTCACCACTGAGTAACCACTGTTAGTTTCCTGCCCTCATTTTCCCCAGAATCTCAGATTGGTGCTAAAGGACTGAAAAACTGTAATGCTCAGGGAGCTTTAAACTACTGAAAATGAAGTACTGTACTGCAGAAGGAAAAAATGCTGAGGAGTCATAGGCTTGGATCCTATGCTCCGTTTTCTTCTCATGGTAGGAATTTCTACTTGCAGAAGAAGAGAGGGGTGGTTTTTGACAATTCCCCTCTCTCACTGCAACCCTCCACTTCAACCCCCCGTGATGTTCTTCACTGACTCACAGGGACACTATGGAAGATATAGATGACTGCAGCAGGTGTGTGTGTGGGGGTTTTTTTTTTACCATTTATGCATCTCAGCTCAGCTCGTACTGCATAGGAGGCAAGCCATAGAATCCAGGTAGTATTTAAACCCCACCATCTCTCACAAAAGAGAACTAAAGTTTTCAGTGGGCCCTTATTAAATTTGAGCCAAGAATAATCTGGGTTCTGATTGCAAATGACCTGCACATGTTCACTTCACAGGACCACGCACATCTATGTAAAGGTTAGCAGGGGATAATTTCTAGGTTGGAAGGGGTGAATGGCAGGGCAATGTGCCATTTTAGCAATTGAAGCACTGTTTAATTGCTATTTCCTCCATCCCTCAGCTTTCCTGACACAGTTTTGAATGTTACCTCCTGGCAATATTTCTTCAGAGAAGGCTATAGGCACACTACTTCAGTCAATAAAGGATTTATGATTATAAGCCAAACACTTTCATCTGGATAACTGTAACTGTGTTAAAAGTATATGGCTCCTTTTAAAAGACTTTTATGCGTGCCTGCTTGGGATCACTACTGTAGACGGAAACTGGAGATGTTTTACCTGGAGACAGTCCACGTTTGTTTCAGACTGCTAGCTATCTCACCTCTTCAAAGGCATGTGATTGTGACTGCACACAGATACCTAGTGATGTGTGGATGTACTGCTTTCACTGGTGCTGTCTCAGTGTGAGATCATCAGGCTTCACCCAGTGAGTTTTGGCATTTGGGACATGGGGGATCTGGCAACCCCACTCCCCACCAACCGCCTTCGTGTACTCATACTCCCTCAGCATAAAATTTCCAGCTTACCGCGCATCCCATTTATCTCACGATTACATGTGTGATCAGGCCATGTGGGCACTGCTCCTCTGACTCTACATGTATGAACTGGTATAACACTCTATCCAGTCTTGCCTTGAAAGAATTCAAAGGAACAAAGGAATGGGTCTTCAACTAAACTGTTCCTGCCTCTCTTTTATCTTCATGCAAACATGCTAGCGTTTGCTGTTGGTTCACAGACACAAATGGTATTGTTCCCCCTGGAAGCAGGACAAACAAGCAAGCGGACACTTTTTAGACTGCTGAAATTCGACTTGAGCAACTTTGATCTGGCTGTAAAATATAATCTCTTCTCAGGCGGCTTTGTTTGACTGGGCTTGTGTTAAACTGTGTTACCTTCTCTTTGCTGCTGCTTTAATAGTACAAATTTGTGGCTGAAGCACAGGCTGGACAATGGCACCCTTTAGCTCTGTTTGTGCCGCTGCTCTGGATTCTCAGCAAGTGGGTCCTTGTGAGGCAGGCCATTCTAGTAGGTAGAGTCTCAAGTCTCACCTCATGGCTTCATTGTGTACCCTTAGAAAAGGCACTCAGCCCCTTTTTTCCACCTGTAATAAATGGGAATATTGGTATTTGTTTCACTGACTTGTCAGGAAAAGGATAAGGTAAAGAACAGCATGAAGTACTCTGAAAAATGGATTAATAATTTCACTTTTACTAGGGACGCCTCATAAGTAAGCTCTCTTGGCGCTGTAAATATACTCCTTGGGCTCTTTTACTATATTGTGGAAATGTTACTGTCAACACACAGCAGCTAATAAGAGTAGCTTTGCTGGTGACTATTGCTTCTCTGTGTGGTGGTCAGGGTGGATTTGATTTAAATTGATCTCAATCACTAGTCAGTAAGACTTGATTTAAATAATGGTTTTCTACATAAAGGCTCATTCTTGCTGGACTTAATATATACAACCCAGATGAAGGCTTCATTTTTAGTATAATAACTTTTCAGGTTAGTTTTATGGTTATATCGGAAAATTAATGAGTGTTTGGTTATTTACCATTTGAAAATAGATAGTTCACCTCACAATGATTTCATAATTATCTCCAGTTTAATAGGTTAATCATTCATATTTTAGGGTTGCCAAGTGAACTCACCCTTGCCGGTGGGGGAGCCTTGCTGGGCTCCGGGAGCTCTCTGAGGATGCGTGTGCGCACGCCACCAGTACGTCACAAGAAGTGACATGCTACATCGCTCACGTTGGGGGTGTGGCCCAGATTGGGGGGGAACCATATGGTTTCCCCCCCAATGATCTGGGCCACGCCCCCAACGTGAGCAACGTGGCTGCATCACCCAGGACCCAATTCCGCCGGGACCCGATTCCGCCGTGGCGGAAATCGGGCCTCCAAAGCGGGGATTTCCCCGCCCCCACTTGGCAGCCCTATTCATATTAGGACAACTTTTCTTTTGTCCTTTTTTGGAAGAAGAAAAATAATCATTAACAATAACTTTTAAAATTGTTTCAACTAAAATAATATTATATAGCTTAAACATCCAAAGATCTGAAGACTTCTGGAGTACTGTGCTCAAAAAGTTTCACTTTCATTTGTACAGCTTGCCCCCTCCCTCCTTACACTTCACTCTTAACATCTCCTCCTTATCCAGACCTATTCCACCCCAAACAATCTTCTACTCATTGAGTTTCTTGATTCAAATAAAAAATCAATTAAAAATGATCTAATCCTTGATCTTTATTCACCCTGGTTGTGGTGAGTAGAAATACAAGGCACAAGTTGCACTTGGGTTGGGTTCACCTGCTGTGGTGCAACACAAGTGTTAAATCTTCATCCCCAAATCTGTTGGCCTAGAACAGGGGTCACAGACCTTTTCTTTAAAGAGAACTAGTTCTGTGAAATGAAAAGTATCCTAAGCTCTCCCCCACACACACACACAATTACTGTTACCAAGTTTTGTTCTGTCCTAAGAACATGGACTGGCAGGAGCAACAGCAAAACTTTTTGTAAAAATAAATGAATACGCCTAGAGCAGATCTTTTCCTATTCTCTTCCGGGATGCATAAGATCCTCTGAAGCAGTCAGTTAGCTATCAGTAGTTCACAAGCTATCTGTTGGACCACTCATCTACAGGTTTGGCATGTGTTGTTGTCATAGATGCCACTTGACATAGTGCCCCAAAGATTTTTCATGCTGAACTTGCTCTAAGAGTTGAACTGCACTTTTCAAAAACTGGAGGAGGGGCTGCCACCCAAAGCAGCAATCTAATGGTGAATTCCAACCCCCTCACCCTATGTGGTCTAATTCTGCTCATTCCGTGTCTTTTTTCCTGCATCTTATAATTCTACCTCTAAGGATGGTTTTTAAATTTCAGGAGTGGTTCCCTGATGCCTGTCCTAGGTTATTATGATAATCCATATTGGCCATTCATATCTATGTGGTAATGAGAACAGAAGAGGGAAGTGGGTGAGCAGCTGATGCAAGCCCAAACCCCATGTCCATGGAGGGAATCCAAACTGTCCCAGACCACCTCAGGGCATACAGTGATGCAGAAAGATGTAGTAGGAGCATGGCTATTTCTAGTGGCCATTTCCATGAACCCCAAGTCTTCATTTAGTGGTGTTACTTCAGCAGCAGAAAGTAATCTGTGATCACCCAGTTCACACATTATTTTTATACACGGGATTGCACATCACAAAAAAGGTAATATTGAAATAAATGTTATTAATCTTTAAGGTGCCACTGCACTTTTATTTTGTATATTCACACAGTCAGAACTATATGGATGAAGTGTGTATGAACCAGTCTTTGGAAACCAGTCAGAGCCATGGGATGAAGTTTTGGTACTAAATTAAAGTGCTGATGAAGTCCCTGGATTATATTGTGTTGATGGTTTGGCCCCAATGCCTATGCATTTTGCTGAAATTGTTTTATGGCCATTCCCCCACTTGTATAAAGAACTTGCACAGAGACATTCTTTGATTTCTGAGTGCTGCCTGAACACTGCCTGCTATAGCAAGTAGAAAGCTGCTCTTACGCCCAGATATTTTAGTGTTTTCCTTCTGTTGTGAACCAGGCCATTGGTTGTGGTGCATTTTATTCTGTTGTGAACTGAACAACTGTTTGCTTTATGTGAGGCTGCAGCTGTGCTGAGTGACTGTTCTTTTCTCTGCCCTCCCCAGAACCGTCCATCAGTAATCACATGTGCCTCTGCAAGCAATCGTAACTGTAATCTCTCACATTGTCCAATTGCGCACAGTGGATGTGGCACTGCCATGCCAGCCAGCTACCGGAGACCATCTAGCAGTAAGTAATGCTTCATTTCCACTGGTTTTTATTTTCCCCTTCCCTAACACTTGAAAGCTAATCCACAGGGTCCTCATATAAATCTAATATAAGTAATGAATTAAGCAGTACAGTGAGATCTGGGGAGGAAGTGGGGTATGCTAGAGTCAAATTAAATGTGTAATTGTGTGGTGCAATAGAACTTTTATTGGGATCATCCTTCCCTGTTGTTGGCAGCTAAAAGCTTGATTCATGCCAGAATTTCGTAGCAAACTCTGTGGGTGGAAAAAAGTATGTTCCCCAATTTTTTCCTCTTATTCTTTTGTACGTGGAGTCCCTAAATCTAGCAGTGATTCAGTCTTGTTTTGCTTGTATTTTTTTGAGTCAGATCAATCTCTGTCCTTTGCGGTCTTCTGTAGTATTACAGACGTGTAACGTGGCGTGCAGCAGAATTGCCACATTGGGTCCAAATCATCAGAAGAATGTACTCTGGTGTACACCAGATCTTCCTAAGGTGGAGGCAGGGAGAGTATCTAGTTCCCCTAGGGTTCCCAAATCCCCCCGGGGGGCGGAATTCCCCCCGGTTTCGAGCCCCGATTCCCGCTCCCGCGGAATTGGGGCCCGGGGGAACCCCCACCCCCGTGTGTGCGTCACCCGGAAGTGACGTCGCACGCTGGGGGCGGGGCGACGCCATTTGAGGGGAAAACAAAGAGTTTCCCCCTCAAATGGCGTGGCCCCGCCCAGCGTGTGACGTCACTTCTGGGTGACGCTCCGGAAGCGCGCGCGCTTCGCACGCACGCACGCACATTCCCAGCCGGCTCCCGGAGCAACTGGAAGCTCCCCCGCCGGTAAGTTTTTTATATTTGGCAACCCTAAGTTCCCCTTGAGTGTAAAGCTATTTAGCAGGGTCATTAGTATGCAGGACAAGGTACAAATTATGGACTGAGGAAAGAATTTACAAATGATTTCATGATAGTTTTTCTAGAAGAATGGGGGAGGGAGCAGAAAAGAACAAAAATACAAAGGCAAAGACTATATGCTAAAAAAGGCAGGCCCTGACTTTTCATGAAACCATCTACCTGATTTGGGAACAATTCTTTAAAACTAATTGGTATTCCTCTTCCCAGGTTGCTTACTTTCTGCAACAATACCACTGTGTACACTCGGTAATTCAGTTCAGCAAATATACAGAGTAAATACACATTCAAATAGTAGCTGGGGCAGTTTGCCATGAGGGCGTCTGTGGAAATAAATCTTTTTTTCCATTTCTCTGACTTTTTAAAAAGACTTTAAAAAACCAATTTTAAGTCTTTTAAAAAAGATTTAAAGAAACCATGTAGCAAATAATTCATATCCCTAATGCATTTTGTTTTTAGAAAGTAAACATAACAGAAAGCAGTATCAGAGACTCAAGCCAAATTGTTGCAAAGGAAACTGGAAAAATTGATTCTCTTCCCTTCTGTTTCTGGTTTTAAAATTGCACGTTATCACTTCTTTTCCTGTGGAATCTGCTGTTTCTCCTAGAGAAGTCATAAGTAACTGTTACGTTGAATATTGTAACACTCTTCAACAAATCAGAATTTTTAAATTAATGCAATCTTAGCAAGGTTATTACATTTTTCTTTGCGTTGTTAAGAAAAATGGTAGTATTTTGCGATTAGAGAGGTGGCTGCAAAGAAAGCTATCAGCATTTTTATTCACATCAGTAATTGGTGGTGGGTTTGGGGTTTTTTTTGGGTGGTTCTTACTGTTGCCTCTCATTTCTTTCTCCCATGAAGCTACCACTGCCTGTGATCCAGTGGTGGAGGAGCACTTCCGTAGAAGCCTTGGCAAGAATTATAAGGAGCCAGAGCCGGTGACAAACTCTGTATCCATTACGGGATCAGTCGATGACCACTTCGCCAAAGCACTTGGAGATACATGGCTTCAGATCAAAGCTGCAAAGGATGGAGTATCCAGCAGTCCTGAATCTGCCTCCAGGAGGGGCCAGTCATCTTCTCCTTCTTCCCATATGGTCAACCATAACCATTCGCCTTCCGTAGTCTCATGAAGAGAGGACCACAGTTTCTTCATCCAGACGTGCATTTGCATGGTTTGACTGAGCTCAGAACAGTGCTCAAACAGTAGTAGTGTTTGGGAGGGAGGAAGGGAGGGAGGTGAGATAAGTTGTCAGCAACCTCAAACAGTAGTAGTGTTTGGGAGGGAGGTGAGATAAGTTGTCAGCAAGACACATTTTTTTTACGCATTTGCTTGGTTTTTATACAAGTGTGCCCTTAAAAGATAGCAGGAACTATTTGATTTTAAAAACCCTTAAAAGATAGCAGGAACTATTTGATTAAAAAAAATAAATTCTATGATGTAGCACTCTTTTTTTCCTGCCTCAATTACCAAAGAAACCTCTCATGCAAGTCTGCTGCCCCCCCCTTTTATAACACATGCAGAAGCAAGTTAATGGGCAAAAAAAAGCCATTCTGTACAGTTGGTTGACCCAAATACTGTGTGCTTTGATTAGCTTCTTGAGACTAGAAATTTGTCTGGTTTTTTTGCTTCCATTGCTTTCTTCTCACTTTGTGAAGTAAGTTTGTATGTATATACTTGAAAAGAACTGTCATGTATGATTTGCACTATTGGAGGAAGTCTAAAGTTGCATAGCAACTTCGCGCACGATGCTTATATTCTGAGGGCAAACTGCTAGGGGAAAAAAGTCTAAGGGTGACCATTTCTGTCTCTTTAAAGCAAGACAGCAACATTGCGTAGGAAGGGGAAGTCTCATACAGGTTATAGGTCTTTCTCTCTTTAGCTGTCGGGTGCTTTAGTGCTTGCAACTGGACTGCATTAATTGACTGATCATGGGCATTTTAATTTTTTCTTAACATTGCAGTTTGTTAGAATAGAGCTGAAGTCAGAGGGTTCAATAGTGCTTAAAGATGCATGTTTATTAAAAAAAATAGCTGGTATCTATTAATGTATAGACAGTAAGGAACATAATACTTATTAGCCTTTGAGAACTAGTTTATTTTTTTTTCCCCAGTAACAGCCCTAGGTAGACTTACTGCTGGTACAGTTGTACTCTGATATTTGTATCTGTTATTCAATTTTAGTAGCAGCCAGCAGACGTGGACAGCCTCACGTTGGCCACAAAAGAAGCTGTTTATACCGTAGCGAATGTTGTGAAGTGCAGGATGCTTTCGCTCCATTCACAACTCCCATCTGCAGCATCGTCTATTTAATAAGGTTTTGCTTACTGAAAAGGTTTAGAACTGTGTAAGCTAATTAGTTGCAAAAAATGATCTCGCTTTAGATATCTTGACTAACCGATAGATGGTGAAATAACGATCTTTAGTTATTTAGGCTGCTTATAAATCTTGGCCAATGCACCATACATTCCTCCATTTAAAACAACCTTTTATAAAGATGTTATTTGCATTTATTTCATTTGCTGTATTAATAGCCAGTAACTAGGTAAATAGAGGCAGGCAAAGAACAGATTTGTGTTAGTAGCAATGAGCTTCTCAGCTTTGTTAAATGCAGCAACTTGCCCTTTCTTTTCCCCCTCCCACACATTCCACCATCCCCCAGTAAAGTTACATCTAGTGGGTTTTTTTAATATACTGGGTTACATGAAAAGACAGGGTCCACTTTTGAGAGAGAGAGATTAGAACTGGTTGTGAATCAGAACTACGCGTGATGTATTCTGGACAATGTTATAATATTGGGTCCATACTAGCTTTTACATTTTTTTCAGTGTTAAAAGCTATTTAATAAGAAAGACATAGGGTAAGAGACCAGAACATGACCTGTTTATTATTATCATTCTTTTTGTTTTCTCTGAGTGTGAGGCTGCCTAATTTTAGAAGCAGGAAAAGGCCAGCAGAAGCTCCTCCCTCCTCACCCATTTCACTATCATCACCCCGGGTGTAGTCAATGCGCCATCTGCCTTGGCATTCAGTACCCAACTCCCTATAAGAAAACTGCAGAAAAAACAACAACACTTTTTTATATAGGTGACTTTAAGACCATCATTACGCTGTGCGTAAAGAATGTACAGAGAAATTTGTAGGTATTTTTTGAGGAACAATTAATTTGTTAATGATATGTAGCTATTTAATTTTTCCCTTTCCACATTTGTAATCATTCTCTCTCTCTCTCTCTCTCTTTTTTTTTGGTCTGTTTGGAGAAAAAAAAGTTGATCTTTTTTTGTTTGTAGATGTGTCTGTAATACAGTAAAAGTGCAGGAACACAGTTATTCTATGAGAACACTGCATTAGCAATTAATAGCCACTAGTGTGTTATTGCTACAGGCTACTGAGCGGTCTAACAGGAAAAGTACTAATGACTGTAGATGGGCTCTGTGAGGATTTGTAACTCCTCTTGGCATCTCTATGAAGCACAATAGAACAATGTCCGGTTTACCTATCTGTGATGGGTAAATGCAGTTGTGGTGGGCAGAGAGTGGCATCCACCCACACAACACTTGGAAGTTATTTGTACTGATTTTGGTGGAACCTATGCCCCGGAGTAAATGTGTTTAGGGCTATAGGTTTGATGTGAGGTGTCCCATGTTTAATCATTATTTGGGGGGGGGGGCGATAATTTCCATGGAAATTTTTTTGTGAAAGCCAAAGGGGATTAGGGGGTGGGTAGAAGGGGGGGATATTGGCCTCACTGTTACATGATGTTTTATCACAGAGCCACAGTGTCTACAGTTCAGCTTGAACAAATGCTCTCTCCATGTTTGTAAATCTGTAATATATCATTCTTTTATGGCCTCGTTTCACCTAGAGATTTTAAAAAAAGGTTTGGCAGGCCATCTTTTTTTTTTGTACTTAAAGTAGCCTTAATGAACAATAAAGTGCTCTTAAAATCTCAGATGTATTTATGTGTTTTGATTTTTCTGCTTTTTTTGTGAGTATTGTGTGTGTGCTTGTAAGCCTGGAAGTCATGGTGACTTCTGGTGACCCTTAGTGGGGCTGGGACATTTCAGAGAGGTGTTTTGATGTTACCTGCCTCTGCATCCCTTTCCTGGTATTCCTTGGAGGTCGCCCTTCCAAGTACTTGCCAGGGTCAGCCCTGCTTAGCTTCTGAGATCTGATGAGATCAGGCTTGCCTGTATGTGTTTTTTTGATTAATGCGTTTTAAGAAAAGAAAACTTGTACTTCACAAAACAACCACAAACTCCAAAGCTGGTTAAATATAAATGATGTATACACAATACACCAATACACAATACACCACAGCTCTATAATACCCTAATAAATGCCAAGGTATCTTGATGAGTAGAAATGTTATTTCTTCTACAGGCAAAGCTTTTTTTAGAGTAAAGCATACTGCCAGTATCAGGCTTTGTGCTTACAATAGAGTTTATAGTTGCTATCCTTGTTTTAGCAGAGAGAACAGCTCCATTGTGCATTTGTTCAATGTACTTTTTTTAAAAAAAATAAATCATTGTACCTTTCTGCTCATGCAACAGACCAGCTTCTCTGCAGTGCCAGTAAAAGAAGCCCAATTACTGGTGGTGGGCACAGCTAATCAACCTTATCTGTAAACTCTGGCTAACTAGCTCATGTTTCCACTGGAGGCAAGGGGGTGGGGGAGAGGGAAAGAAAACCTTGGCCAGTCTGATATTACTGGAGAGTTAATAATACCACTGAGCACATCAGCCAACACTGAGTTCTTTCTCCAGCTATACGAAGGACCTATTCACATAAGTGCACCCTGTACTATGTGATATCACTTATTTGTCCCTTGGGCACTTTGTAGAACTGCCATAACAATCACAGTGGATTTGTGTATGTGGGATATTGGATCACATAACGCTTTTCTACATGTTCCCCCTAACCCAAGTAGTAGTCCTTAGAGTCCAAATCCGGGGGGTGGGGGAATAACTCTACACGTACTTCAGCTGCCAAGTACGTATATTTAACCCATGAGAGGAATTGTTTCTGATAAACTTAATCATCAAACACCACATGGCACTTTACAGCAATCTCACCACTGCTCCAAACAACATTTATTTTGCTGACAATTTCAAGAAAGCAAAGACATTGGTTATTTGATATGACTTGTAAGTATTTTAAAAATATAAACTGTACATAGTTCTTGGAATATCAGAGCATCTCCCATCCTGAAACTAGTCATTGTAGATTTTTACAGTAAGCAAGTTTGTCTCAAAGTAAACTCATCCTAAGTCTCTCCCTAACGTCCAACCTGTGTGTCGCTACAAGGGTCAGTACCTACTTCCTAGCATTCTCAGGGCCAACGAGCTTGGAATAGCTCACATATTTCTTCTTCTTTTGCTATTACATATTTCCTAAGCATAGGTAAAGGTTCCCTTGCTCGAAAGCCAGTCAAGTCCGACTCTAGGGTTGCGGTGCTCATCTCCGTTTCAAAGCCGACGAGCCAGCGCTGTCCGAAGACGTTTCCGTGGTCATGTGGCCGGCATGACTAAACACCAAGGCGCACAGAACGCTGTTACCTTCCCACCGAAGTGGTACCTATTTATCTACTTGCAATTTCTTGCTTTCAAACTGCTAGGCTGGCAGGAGCTGGAACTAGAGATGGGAGCTCACTCCATCATGTGGCATAAGTGGTGATATATTTTATCCTTCAGCGTGACACTTTATGCGTATATTTCTTTTTTAAAAAATAGTAAGCCCTTGTGTGCAATTTCAGAAAGCAATCCCAAAGCAAGATGTCTGTAAATGACATACACAGAAGACATCTACCACTGCCACACTTGTCCCCATGCTGTTTCTAAAAAAGCCCTAATAAAATGTCAAGATGTTCCGATGAGCAGAAGTATTTCTATTTCCTCCACAGGCAAAGTTTCCAGAGGAAAGCAGGGTCTTGGTACTCCTGCAAGGACCATCCCACTATTAGGCTTTGTATTTACATTCAAGCTTACTACAAGACTTCCATGCCAACTCTTGAGGAAATGGCAGCATTCCTAATTTTGGTTGCCAGTGAGTGTAGTAAACAGAAGTGTACCTTCAAGTGTAAATCTTGGTACTGGGGCTCAACGGCTTACATGGAACAAAGTGTTTAAAAAGCATATTCAACTCTTGGGGAAAAACCACACAGATAGGTGGCAATGACTGATGATCGCAACAATTCGACTAGGTGGCTCATCCCCCTAACAGCCTCCACTAAACTGAAGGTGAGTGATTTACCA